AGGGTGTCTGTGGTGGGGAGGGGAAGGGAAAGGAGTTTGTAAGCCGCTCTGAGACTGTAATGTATTCGATAAGCTGCCATTGAATGCATAATGTGTTATGAAAACATCTAGTTGAAATGCTATGTTAAGCTTCGTCCTGGGCTAGGATCCAAATACATCCAATCACATTGCTAGCCCAGGAAGAACCTACCAATCACTACCAACAAGCTCCCTGAGCGGGAATGTCCGTGATTGGTCCTTATGCATACAACCTTATTGGTTGGTAAATGTACAGTAGGCGTGGCTACATTAGCCGGGAGAGTTTAAAAGCAGGACAGCTGCAATGTAAAAGCTGTTCTGGCTATCAGATGTTGATCCGTGTTGGAGTTGTGTTCGAGTTGATGAATAAAGTTGAATCTTTGCTGAATCACTCTCCGACTACTTTGTTAAGCAAGCGACTTAACAGAGACTCCCTCGGATAGTGAAGGGCAGAGTATAAATCCAACCTCCTCCTCCTCCTCCTCCTCAATCTGAAATTTTCTCTCCATCTTGGAATAAATTGAATTTTGCTGATATATATACACTGTATATTTTACTGTAGGGCTTTTAACTTTTAGTTATTTATCGTGTGTTCCTTTCTGTGATAAGCTCCCCTAAAAGGTTAAACAAATAAATAAATAATTTCTTTCCATTCCCCTCCACCCCCACCCCCACCCCCTACTCCTGTCCCAGGACCGGCTTCTCCTCCTCGATGTGGGGGAAGACTTCCTGTCAGCTGCTAGGACCGCCTCCTCCTCCTCGATGTGGGGGAAGACTTCCTGTCAGCTGCTCGGCACTTCTACCCAGTGGAGGAGGAAAGCGGGGGCGGCTCTTCCAGCAGCGAAGGGCCCACTAGCTCAGACCCTGTCTTGGTCAAACTGGATACTGACACCCAAGAAGAGGAAGAGGAGGAGGAAGAGGAGGAGGAGGAGGAGGGAGATGATGACAACAGTGAGGTCGATGAAGCAGATTAGGAATGCGTTGGAGGAGGAGGAGGCTGGAGAAAAAGCTGTGCAGACTTAATGCCTGAATTGGAAGAGCTCGGGAAGCTGGCGTCTTGGGAGCTCCCACAGACTAGTGGATGCAGAAGGCCGAAGGGCACTGTGGCAAATTATGAGGGTTGCCAGCTCTGGGTGGAGGAATTCCTGGAGATTCGGGGGGGGTGGAGCCCAGGGGGGAAGGGCCTCAGCAGGGTACCATGCCACAGAGTCTACCCTCCAAAGCAGCCCTTTTCTCCAGGGGGGGCTGATCTCTGTCATCTGAAGATCAATGTTAATAGTGGGAGATCTCCAGCCCCCACCTGTAGGTTGGCAACCCTACGAATTATGGACCTGATGGAAACCTGCCTTTACTCCCTTTCCTGTGTGCCTTTTCATATTATTGCCTTTTAATAAAATGACGAGTTGGGTTAATAGGAAGCAGCACAAGTTTCTCGTGGAGCGCGATTGTCTGCGGTCTCTGAACAGGCTCTCTAAGGTCGGCAGGTCTCAAACTAAGATGTGAGATGGGAAAATCCGTGGCAATCTTTAAAAAAATCAAGTTAGCAGCTTCCCGTGGTGGCTTTGAAGCTTGGGAAAGGGGGTGTTCCTAGCCTGTGCCTGATCGAAGTGCCCTTCCGAAGCCTCCCTTAGCTCACACCAGGAGGAGGGGGAAGAGAATAAATTCTTTGTTTCGATGTTGGCCCCCTGAGCTCATTGTAGCTTCAGAGTGGTATTTACATTGGGGGGGGGGCAAAGGAGCAGGAGGGTCACACCCCTTGCCTGGTGCCCCCTCTGCAATCTTCAAAGCAGCCGCAAAGGATTATTGAAAAGCTGTGGAGTTCCGAGCGTCTTAGTTTCATGCCAAGCTGTGTTTCTTACTGAATTAAAACAGGAGGGTACACTTAACACATTCTCCAAAAGGAGCATTTTGGAGAATCACAGTATCGAATTATCCATACACACACACTCCTCAGGAGCTCACTCCCTTGTGTTTCTACGTGGGCAACTGTTCTGTGTGTACCTCCTAATTGGAAAGCAGGAAACCCAGCACAAGGACTCATGCAGAGATGTGGCTAATTGTGCTGTGGTTCTATTGAGAACTACTGAAACATTCAGTCACACCTGCCACAAACGGCTTGCCCCCAGCAGAAGCTGATCAGAAGGAAGTAGGGTCAGAACAGTAAATCATTCAGAGACTCAGCAGGCAGCCTCTTCTGGAGGCAGGAGCTTTATGCTCACAGGAGCCTTTAGTTAATTCCTGTTTGGGGACTGCTGTTTTGGGCGCTCATGACACACATGTATGCACGCAGACAGTGTGCAATTGTATTAGGAAAGTGTGTATCTGGCTAAATGTTAAAGGGGAGTTACGTCCTACTGATGTCTGATGAGCATTAAGAAGGCTGACTGTGGTCCATTCTGCATCTGGCATTTGCTCCACATTTTATCAGCACTTGCCCTGGTTCCCCCTTGCCTCGGAATATCTGTTTCCGTTGCATTGCCTCGGATCCTGGTTTCTGCATTGGCTAGTGTCATCGGTATGCAGATTTTCCTGTGTCAGTGCTTGCCTCAGCAGAGGAAGGAAAAGGTGCCGCTCAAAACCACATTCAGATACCCCAGGGCAACGCCATGTTGACTGCGAAGTCACCCCTAGACGGCCATAAATCTATGAAGAAGGTACCATAAAAAACGATGAACAAAGAAAGTGAAAGCAGCATGCAGTGTGGAGGGAGATTAACCTCCTGACGTGGCTGTGGAAAAACCGCAAGGAAACAGAAGGGTGCAGAATCAGCCTGTGTCTGTGAGGGCCAAAGCCTCCAGCTCGAGAAGAGCACAAAACTGTTGACCTTGCTAGTCTAGCTCTCCGCTTTGATTGGTAGGGCATGATCCAACAAGGAGGTGGGCCTGTCTCTTTGGATTCCTAAGGCCACGCATCTGAAAACTGACAGTCCCTCACACTGGGGCGTGTTAGAGCGTGAGGGCAGCTGGGTTTGGAGAAGGGAAGTGGCTTCTTCGTGCTGTAGAAGACCTTGTCGATTTTGATCTCTGGTGTGTCTATCGCTAGGTAGCTAACTAGCTCAATAGCACATTTCTAGTCCTTATGAACAAAGATAAGCTTGAAAAGTTGTATACTGAAACCTTTGGATCACTGTGAAGCTGGGCTTCTGTTCTCTTTACAGACATTTGCCCCTCCCAAGGAGAATAAATTATATATTGGCAGGGATCATTTTGTACAAAAAGAGGTGCAGGTGCTCATTTGCATAACTAATTTGCATATGTCACACCCCCTGACAAAGAGCAGGCATGTTTAAAATGCCTTTCTTTCCCTTCCTCAGATGGGGAATGGAAAGAAAGGCATTTAAATCCCCCCAGGTGGGGGAGCACCCCGGGCTCCTTACTGCCGGAGCGCCATTCCGGTGCGTTCCAGCAGGAAATGACCCCTGTATATTGGTGACTATAGGCTTACTCAACTGATCTCATGTTTTCTGATAGTGGAATTCAGTGTTTTGGGGAAGTATGGTTTGTATGTCAATTAGATTCTTTTAACACATAACAGCACAGAGCTGTTTTGCTTCCCAGGGTGGATGCTTTCTGTAACTGTTTGGGGTAACCCCTGCAATGTCGAATTTCAGTTCAGAATTTGGCATTCTGAGGATCTTTGCTTCCCTCTATAAATATACAGCAGGTTTCTTAAAGAGGTGAAGAGAGATTGAAAATGTTTGGACTACTATGCCAGATGAAATCTTGGCTGAGCAAGAGTCCCTCTGCACAGGAGAACAGGGCTTCTCTGCGCACGCACACACACATGCACACACGGCAATCTGAACAGAGCTGAAACAAAAAGAAGAAATTTAAGAAATGTAAGAAACGAAATGTGAGGTGGTGGCGGCTACAAGCATGGACAGCTTCAAGAGGGAATTAGATAAGCATATGGAGCAGAGGTCCATCAGTGGCTATTAGCCACAAGATATAGATAGGGACTCTCAGTCTGGGGCAAGGGATGCTCTGTATTCTTGGTGCTTGCGGGGGTGGGGCAACAGTGGGAGGGCTTCTACTGTCCTGGCCCCACTGCTGGACCTCCTGATGGCACCTGGTGTTTTTGGCACTGTGTGACAGAGTGTTGGACTAGATGGGCCATTGGCCTGATCCAACATTGGCTTCTCTTATGTTCTTAATTATTGTGTTTCAGTAGTTCTCAGTAGAACCACAGCACAAGGGGAGCGGTGGCACAGTGGGTATATCCCACTGTCTTAACATCTGAACTGTGTTAGCTCAAGCCCCGCGGTGGTGTGAGCAGCCAGCCTGTCGTCCCCAGCTCATCGTCCACTCAGTGATTCGAAAGCTTCGGCGAGTAGATAAAATGGGATCCACTCCTTAGAGAGGGTGGGCACACCAATCTCCCTTGTGGGAGGGTGTTAGCTGACGGTCAGACGTCCTGGTCGAGGTTCGGAAAGGCGAAATTACTTCTTGGCTACAAAAGAATTCCTGCAGTGGATGTTCCGGCCAGGCGGTGGCAGTGTGGCGATTGACGTACG